CTGGTTAATGTCTCGTTGTTCAGGTTCGCCTCTACATACTCATTTGTTCTCAGTCTGACTTTCTACCTCAGCACTGTGATTTGGATCTCTTGAATCGTTTATGGTCGACTCTTAGTTTGTTTACTGATTTTTTGTTTAGCTCTGTGTCTTGAATCCTGGTTACTAATGACCTGACCTTGTTTGGTCTCTTGACTCTGTCATTAGTGATACCCATTGTAACTACTGATTTATTCTAAGCCAACTCAACTATGTACATTGCAGTTAGTGGTCCAAGTCCTTTCAGCACTGAGTACTCAGATGCACCCCAGGTGAAAAGGAAGGGACAGACAAACAGAATCATGTGGGTACGCACTGTTTGGTGCGTGCCATTCTATGTAGGACCACGCTCAATACTTTTATTGTGATTGTGTACCTTAAAAACCAGATGTTAGGTTCTCACAGTTTGTCTTCCCCATTAACTGCCTCTTCCTACAAATACACACACCCCAAAATTCTTGGTTCCTCTTGTGTTTGCCTACATTTCAAGTGCTATTCTTATTGTCTGACTTAACACAGAGGTAGCAGAAGAAATGGGACTGGTGTTGCCTAGTGAATGATTATGCTGTCTATGTTGTGTCTGGAGTGCTAAGGTTAACTCCAACGAGAGCAATGGCTTCTGTCTAGTGTTCAGCTTTTGTGCCAAATAGACCTACATTGTTGGCCATCCTTATATTTTTATTCCTTCAGAATAATGGTAATGCTTAAGGATTGAAAAATGCAGGTTCTCTCTGGGAAACTTCCACATATAAGAATATGACAAACTTTTATGCTAGCTCCCCAAGAATTTTTGTAACACTACAGGAGGACCAGTTATACGTTATGGACACGGGGCATGGTGCAGGCGGGAAAGGAAGGTGGCGATCCACTTACGGCTCCAGAAAAAGGGGTTTATTAAGCAAGCTGAACACGCTGCGGAAGGCACAAAATAAATGGGACCACAAGGTCAAAAGGCAAATGGGGAAAACAAGAATTAATTTAAAAACACCACAGAATAACACCAGAAGGAAGCAGGACACAGCGACGCAGCGACACAGGAGTAGGTACTTAAATACACAAAAGGATAACAAGACAATGCAGGACAGGTGAGAACAATACCCAAATAACCAATCAAAGAAAGGACAGGACAGCGAGCAACTGGTGGGTCTAATTAACAGAACTAGAAAGCTTCAGACATCAAAACTAGGAGACAAACCAGACACTAGTCGTAGTACAATGCAAAGCAAATCAAGCTGGAACAAAAAGGTGCGAAACATAAATCAGAACAGAACAAAAGAAGGGCAAACCAATGACAGAGAAACAAATGGAAAGTAATAAATACTAGGGAACCCAGGAAAAACAAAATAACAGATAAGGCTGGTATTTGACCAGCCTTGAACCCCTGACCCTAGGGGCAATAGTCTGAGCTGCACACTCAACCCACTGAGCTATGCAGTGCTCTAAGGGTTTGGGAGAATACATTAGGGACTAGCATGAAGACAGAGGAGGGAACAGGATGGCCAGCGACACCTGCTGGCCAAGCGAAGAAGAGACATGAAGGACAGGGATGGACAGGCGCTGACCCTGACAGTTATATATATAAACAAATAAAGATGTATATATACATGAACAAGTACAGAGGATGCTACATTCAGGTAGCTCTACAGCTGATTCCTCCTAACAAATCAGCTTGTTGTTAGCCATCTTGGTGTTCTTGGTTGTATTCGGGGTGTGTGGGGTAACACTTAACATGGGGTTAAATGTAACACTGACAACACGGTACAACACGGTTGGGCAGTTTCTCTCCGGTCAGTTTACTACATCGCCTGCAGACGTTATACTAAGAGTGTTTTCATGTCATGAAAGTAAATTTCATTATTGTGCTTGCTTTTTGATTACTGGAGCTGAATCAACCAATCCAATCTTATATTACCTTAATTGTTTTGAAACAAGCTGTGAACCAGGCTTGGGAAGAACTCCAGACAGCAAGTTCAGTTGTGACACAGTGTTACAGCTAAACCTCCCACAGCGTACAACGATAGTCAAATAAAAACAGATATTTTCAGTTCAATTCAAAGGGCTTCATTGGCATGAAGATTTCAAGAATAATATAGCCAAAGCATCAAAGTACAGTTTTTCAGGCTCGAGTTTTTTCCCCTCAGATTGAGCTGTTAGACTTTTGAATCCCTAACAATGTTGTGTGGCTCTTGAATGCGTTTAAAGAGATAAATCCATAAGCAATATCTACCTGTTGTATTGTATTAAATTAATATTATTTAGCTAAAACCAAATGTGCTGGGCTGTACCCCACTCTCTTCTACTTACTGCATTTATTTTGATGGCATGACATCCCTAGATTTTGGCTTCTAGATCAGATTTGAATGGCAAGGGGAGGAAAGGTTGAAAACAAAACCAGTTAAACATGTTTTCAATGCCATTGCTATCTGATCTCAGGAAAGAAATTGGTCCATTTGGAGGACATTGAGTAACCTCACTTTAACCTCATAGTTTGTTAACCAGATGTTGAACAACTTCCATGTTGTCTCCCCCCCCCCCATACCCTCCTATCCCTGTTAAAGCCACATCCCAATGCTTGCGGGGGAAAGTTTGGGGCAATTCCCATTTCAAATACCATTTGTGGAATGTTGGAAATTTTACAGCCTAGGTTGGTCTGAGCCAAGTGAGCAGACATGGGGTTGAATCATGCATTTGGGTTCTGGAATCTTCATGATGTCTTTTAGAAAAAGTGATTTTCTACAGAAAAATATTGTTAAATGGTGCAAAATCCTTTGAGGGTTTTTAGGAAAAGATCCAAAATATTTTTCGTCCTGACTATGAGAATATATAATTAGTTTTAATGAAGTTTAATGAAGATAATCATTCCACTTAAAGGAAGAACCATAAAAACGGAGTGGGAGCGCTTGAGGCTGAGACATGCACGCATTTCAGCAATACACACAGAATTGTCTGGACAACAGGCAAATTAACAAATTATGAAACCTAATTAGAAAATGCCTGCTTGTGGAAGGATGTGGGTAGAAATGCCTGAGTCAGCTGCTTATATGCGACGTGTGAACCACAGAGTCTCCTAAACTGGAAAACCAGCTTTCTGATGGAATCTCATTGAAATCATTATGTGAATATGGCATTCATATGGACATCAATGGTATCCCTGTTTCAAATGAGATGTATACTAATGAATTCTGAACCCTCTGCAAAAAGGAACACAAATTGTGAATTAAAAATTTAAGAGTTATACGCAGAGTTATATACAGGGGTCAACAGCATGGCGAATTCTGACGGACATTATGATCGAAATGCAACTTTTATCATGGACATGGTGTTTAAATATATAGCCCATATAGTTTTTTTTCCAATAAAAAAATAGGTACCTTGCCAAGGGCCTGTTTGTCCGCATACAGACACGGTACGTGGTTACATGTACTTTGAAAATCTCCAACCAAACAAAAGAAGTTCATTTCACAAGCCAGTCTTTATATTTCAATATTTTAATCTAAGATTATTTTTCAATATATCCGATTTTTTTCTCTCCTATAGCTCAGCCCTGGAGGGTAGCTGTTGAGTGAATGCGACAGTTGCAGAACACACTGCAAACCAAGTGAAGAGTGCATTCTTGTCTTCCAGCCAAGCACTACATATGTTTTGTTTTCTATTCTCCTGCAGTGAGAAGAATTTCACCATGGGTCAGTCCCCTGAATTCAGGAGGTTTTTGCCTTACACTTTCGTTGACAGGAAGGGAAGGCACCCCGGCACTGATAAAGCAGGACTAAGTTCACCGTTAACAACAGTTTTTGTTTTCATAAGTGTGCAGTCAGTGAATTAGTTTTCTTGCAATGCTTTTTACACGAATCCCAGAGACGCTCTTTGTGTTGTGGTTTGTCTCAGCTAGTCCTCTACAATAGCAAAGCTTTTTAATAACCTCAAATGTTCCTGAGAAGCAATGGGTTTGAAGAATACAATGCTGCATTCTCTCATTGTTTGTGTTCTACTAGCAGTGTTTCATGATGTGAATAATTGAATTCAGTAAAGGACTGAATGTGGTTCATTTTCCAGGCTCACTTTGTCCTCTATAATTTAAGAAACAAAGAAAATCGACCAAAAAAAAGTCATACATTTTGTGATTAAAATAAGTTTTTTTGTCACTGGTCATATGGAATTTTGAATTTTGTTGAAATGCACGCACACACACGAAATGTGTTTATACACCAGGATAAGTTACGAAAGTGGATGAACCAATATAAAATATATATTTTCAACAAATATAGCATGGTTAATGTAATCATATGCTAGCTAAAGAAAATATAAAATTCTGGCATGTGCAATTACGTTTTTATTTTGAAATATAATTAAGGATTGCCTGGTGTTCTAAGTGCAAAGATACTAGAGCCTATCCAAGGAAATATGGGATAGCCCAAGGCAGAGGATATACTGAATATCCGTCTGTAACAAACAATAATTATCTAATATAATTTTCTGTAATAAAAACATGTGTTTAAATGCATGAGACAACATGAAGTATACCATATTTAAAAACATTTTTGAAGTAAATGCAATATAATACACATCTGTGAATTGTGTTACTCTTTCATTTGAAATACTTTAACATGTCCATATATGTGCCAAAACATATATCTGTGATACATCATATTATATGACACGTCTTAAATCTATGATAAGACTTCATCTTGGCCGTGCATGAAAGAAGTAAAATTATTTTTACAAATATCAGTGACTTCTTCAGGGATTTTTCTCCTGGTGCTGCAACTCATCTTTCTGTAGACTTTCACTGGTCCAGAGATCTGGCTGATCTTTCTGTAGACTTTCACTGGTCCAGGGATCCAGCTGATCTTTCTGTAGACTTTCACTGGTCCAGGGATCTGGCTGATGTTCTTCTCTGACTTTCTGCAACTGCGAATTCACAACCACTGAAAAACAAATGCCGCTCTGTTCATTCTTCCTTTCAGATTTCTGCTCCCAGTGATAACGTTGCACCATGCCTGAGGGGGTGGGTCGTGGAGACCAGAGAAAACCCAGCGCCCAAGGTCAGAGGTCAAGGGGTTGGCTGTATTTCACTCTGCAAACATTGCACAAGTTTATATGAAAGAAACTCCAGGATGGTCAATATAATTATGTTACATAACTGTATGTTAGGCTTGAATTTTACCTATAACAAGAGCTAAGATTATTTTTCAACATAGAAACAACAAAGAGTCTCACAGGACTTTTATATGAAACCTTTGACTTAGTTTACCTGTTATATAACATCTCAATCTCAATTTTACCAGTGCATGTCCTGTTAAGGGGGAAAGTTTGGTGGCTCCGTGGGTGAAATATGTTCATGTTCTCCCTGCATTGTGTGTGTGTGTGTGTGTGTGTGTGTGTTTGATGCTTGTCAAATGCTCATTGAGTGCATGCATGTATGTGCCCTGATGTGGACTGGCAATCTCTACAAAGTTGTTTGGATGGGATCCTATGCCACTTATATTGTTAAATAATAACAATAGAACAATGACACTGTTACTGTGTCCTATAACGTAATAACATCTGTACACCAAAGATACAGTACGGATGACTGCTTATCAAGGAAATGATAATAATCAGTTAGAATGTCTGAAAGCAACATCGTATTTTTAGACAACTGTTTTTATAACCAGAGATTGACATAATTCGCATTCACATTTAAAAGCGGTACGTGCGGCAATCGATTAATGTAACAGTGCAAATACGTACGCATTTTATGTGCATTTGGGCCGATATGACAAGACATTCTCGTGCATTTTAACCTTTATATGCTAATTCGTATTTCATTTGCGGTATAGAGGTTGAAATGTACGGTAATTTCTTGTCATAAAGGCGCAAATGCACGTACGTAAATACGTACGTATTTGCGCTGTTACATTAATCGCTTTTAAAGGTGAATGCGTATTTGCGTACCAGTTATATGTTAATTCCTGTTGATAACAGAGAATGGTTATTTAGATACCTCATATAAAAAATGAATGTTTTAAGAAACTTTCATTTTTAGTATGTTCACAATGGGGGGTAAGTTGGAAACATGGAAGTCAAAAAAAAGATCAACCTTATCTAATCAGATACATCATTATATCTATTTCATTGTGAAATGAGCCAGCATGTTCTAGAGCAATGTTTCCCAATATGGTCCCCGGGACCCACAGTCAGTCCCCGTTTTTGCTCCTTCCCAGCTCCCTACCTGGAGCAAAAATGTGGACAGTCTGGCAGGGAGCTGGGAGGGAGCAAAAACATGGAGCGGCTGCGGGTCCCCAAGGTCCGGGTTGGGAAACACTGATCTAGAGAACTGCAGCCTTCCTTCCTGAACTGCTGACATTTGGAATGTCCATTTGGAATTGAAATAAACCCTTGAGGTCAGGTCTAACTATTTTACGAAGGCCTGGTTTCGCATTTTGCAAAGGCTTAGGAATTTGAATGAAACAATACCTCGAACTGCAGTCATGGCTAAACATGTTGTCAGCTGTGCAGTTTTTTCAAATCATGCTGCATTAGAGATAAATTATTTAGCAAATATTAGAGCTGAAATAACTAGGACTAGAATGTTGTTATTACACTCAGACAATGTTCAATGAGACTTAGATCTGGAATCATTGATGGTTTCTCTAGCATGTTCTTCTTAATCATTCCTGGGTGCTTTTTGTGTTTCATGTTATTGTCCTGATGGAAGATCCATGGTCTTCGATGGGGACTTTCAGCTGAGCTTTCAGACACTGGGTTCCATAATTTGCTCCAAAATGCCTTGCAGTTGGGCTTTCCTATTCTCCTCTGTCAGCAGTGGGGTCTCCCTGGGTTGCTCCCTTTCTTTGGATGTCAGTCAACCCTTTTAGTGACCTAGGAGGCAACCTGGGGCGCCTTTTTCTAAGGGGGTGCTGACTTTGCAAATTTTAATCGAATTTAATTTTGCATTTCATTGTAAACATGTGTTAGGGGTAAACGGGCATCTATTTAGGTGAGATACAGGACTGAAAACTGACTTTTTGCTTGGTCTCAAGGTGGATTTGAACCTGAATGTACTGTATTATGCATATGTGGTTATTAATGTTGCCTCACACCATTCCATATCCATTAAGGGGCACATTTAGAAAATGAACTGTACCTGATCAGTACTGTATACACATTAGCACCTTTCAGCTTCATATTAGAACTGTGCAACACAAATATTGTCTCAAAAAGGCAAAGCATAACAAAATAGATATCTGTACTTGTATTCACGTTAACAACTTCCAGCTTCACATTAGGACGTACGCATGCATGCGTAGTAGTGCTGCTTCATCCAGGCTTTTCCGAATGTTGCTCGGGGGAAACACACAAACATACAAAGCTTCTGCATTTGCTGCATTTGTTCATTACATATGCATACCGAACCGAAAGACCCACACCAAAATTTTCTTGTGCCAATACAGGTACCGTTACACTCCTAGCTATAAGTCCTTATCGCTTTTACGATCGTTCGACTTACGATGGTACAATAGCAATGCACATTTAATAGTCATCAAACTTTGAATTTTAATCTATTCCCAGCCTAATGGGGAACTATACTTCCCACTATTGGGTGCATCCACAGAGCCATGCTTTCGGTCACTGTGGCGATCGCGAGCGTAAACACCTCATACAGTGTTTAACAATGTATCTTACATTCTAGTATGGTATATCATTTCTGGTTTATAGGAATGGAACTCGTCTAACATTTGGCAGCCAGCTGGCTAACTAGTTATCTTTGGAAGTTAACGGCAGCCATTCTCAGCTGCCAGTGTAGAATAAGAAAATATGTGACCTAACGGTTATGAATTGTGCAAATATCAAATGCCTGATATTATTAAAGTTGAGTAATTATGAAATGAATTGTTGTCCTGACTTGCTGTATTGCTCTTCGTTGAAGGTTTGAGACATTAAAGTAGAATTATTTCCAGTAAGGTCACTGAGAGATTTACTTATTTTCATAGAAAACAAGGCAAGTCAGTGAGGTGAAAAAGGAATACTTATTTAATGCATTTTATGCACTCTACACTGTCATAGATAAGTTGTGTTTCTTGTCTTTGGGAGTTTATGGTTTGGTACTTCAGTGGCTGATGATCCGTCCAGGTTAAGGGTCCCCAACCCCCAATCTGCTTTAATGGCTTTAATTAATCAGGAGTACTTGGTTTTTCTTTTGTGGCATGTCTGTTCTCATGCAGTCACCTCTGTTTAGGGTGCAACGTATCCCTCTATGTGTTAAAGCTGTCTTCTGCTCAGTATTTGTTAGGCATGGCGAGCTGGGCACATTTTAAAAATCCATCCATCCATCCATCCATCCATCCATCCATCCATTTTATACACTAGCTTGTCCAGACGCCCGTGACCCTGAATTTTAAACATCATATCTTTATTTAATCTAAAATAAATATTAAATTTAAATATTTGTACATTTGTTTAGCCAAAAAACAGTTCAGTCAAAAAAATTCTTATGGGTAACCTCAGTATTATTATTCTGCAATCTTGTTAGTAATTTTGGCAATTGGCAAGTTTGGGGGATTAGTGTTGCCTCTGATTTTTGAACGGAATACACTCTATGTCTTTTACTCTTCAGTACTTAATTTATTATTAAGTTTACCTTTTTGTAAACCACAAAGTGCTCATTAATCATAAAGCAATTTTAACTGGAAGCCTTCTTAAGACGTGTGACACTGACACAGGAAATGGTTTTGGTTATATTGGGGTGTCTCTGTCTCTACCGGTGTAGTGTGAAAGACTGGTTAATCGCCAGAGCCGACCTTAAACTCAGCAGTACAGCAGTACGGAATATCAGAGTGTGGAATTCAGGTTATAGTGATGTAGGTAGGTGAGTTCTGAGTATTTGCATATTAGGCTTTACACAAGAAAGTAGATGGTCATTCACTATTCACTGCCTGGTTCTGTCAGGGCACAGAGCATTGTGAAATTTGAGAAGGTAAGAGGGAATCCTCAATGTATTAGAACTTCTTATTGATTTTTGCCTTCAAATATTGACCAGCACCTTTGATATGCATTAATTAACGAGATGCTAAAATGTGAGTATAATTTGACTACAAGTATTTTTAATATTTAGTATTTAAAGTGTGCATTTGAATAAATGTTGATGGATGTGGCTTTTTTCTGCCGTATGCAGAGGAACCGGAGTGAACTTTAAACACAATTTATATGTCCAACAATTGATTTATAAATGTAAAAAAATTTAAAAATATATTTTATGCTTCCTGTTCTGTGGAGGATGCACTTAGCTTTCACTTTCATTTAGTGAAAGCTAAGTGAACTTGGCTCCTGGTTTGCTATATTGAACTTACTTTCCTGCAAACGGCACAATTTGAAAGAAGCGATACATATATAGTAATTGTAGCAAGCCGTTGCTTCTAAGTTCCTGTAAATGTCAAAAGGAATGGTGAATGCTGGACAGTTTATTTTTGGCTGAAATCTGCTCCAGGGTACTTATTGAAAGCATACCAAAGCTAGGATAACCAAATATGGAGGTGTTGGTAGTGCGAAGCAGTGTGCAAAACGGTTGGTTGAGTAAAAAAAAAAATATGCCACCCTGTTTATTCTCACAGGAAGTCTTAGATATTTTACTTTCTAACACTTTCCTGGTATTTTTTGTTGTTGCCATGAACGAGTTGAATGCTCCATTCTTGTCTATTTCTAACAATACTTAGATGAGACTTAATCGAGTTGCTATGAGAATAAATCAAACTATTATTGCATGAGAATGATCTATCTATCTATCTATCTATCTATCTATCTATCTATCTATCTATCTATCTATCTAAATTATTATTATTTTATTATACAGCAGTGACATCTAAAATGAACCATGGGACTCCTATATATTGTTATGACTTTGTTTTCAGAAATTTAGTAGAGCAAGCGAACCTTTTTTCAAACAGAAAAAAAACATGTTATTATGCATTAGTGTGAGCCTCACTGTTTCTGCACATTTCCTGTGAACCCAAGAGGCATAGCACTTGCAGTTCATCAGCTGGTGCAGAAATAACTTGAGGCTTTTTATCTGAGGGTGGGGGTGCAAAAATGTAATCTCAGCATGCATTTACCTGATTTGTCAAAATAGTTGATGGGTATTTGCGAATGAACTTATTCTACCTCTAGTTATGTTGTCTGTTCCATTCAATTCGTTAGGCCTATTAGCCACAGCATCCGTAGTTATATCCATCTTCATTGTAATGATTGCTAAGACAAACCAGTTAATCATTTTAGTACTAAAGCATCAATAAAGCAATCATGCATCAAATGTGATTTACTGATAGCAATTGTTGCCTCTTTCCACGGCAGCTGTCCAGCGCCCCTCGTCTGTGTCTTCTCTGAACAGCATTGTGGGAAGGATGGCCTCCATAGAGCAGGCCTCCGGTGGCAGCTGTACCTCTGTCAACACTGTCTGCTCTGATAGTGACCGGGCAGCTAGCTTAAGTTCCTCTGCATCCTCTGCCTCCCTACAAGATGGCCAATCATCCTCCTCATCTTCCCTGCCTTATGGAGCGACTCCATCCTATCCCCAGTCCCAACGCAATGACTGCGACATCAACCTGGACCTCACACCTTATTTTCAGCTACTAGATGACCGTGGTCAAGGGACTGGGCGCAATGTTCCGTGCTCACCCGCTCCAAAACTTTCCCATTTAGAAAGAGTGATGCTGGAGATTGTGGAGACAGAACAAGCTTATGTGCGAGACCTCAAGAGCATTGTGGAGGTAAGCTTCCTTTTTTTTTCTCTCACGATGAACATGCTTCTGAACATATTCACTAATTCTTATGTTTTGATGACACCTGTTTATGTTGCTGAACACAGTTGATTTTTTTGGTGATGTTAAATTACTGTGAAAAATTGCATCTACTGCATATTATTGCACGAGAACATGCAATAGTGGGCATTTCTTACCAAAACATATGCATTCATTTAGTAAGGTATTTTTATACAATGCAAAAATAATTTCTCCTGAAGTAATCCATCCACCTACCAACATCTTCTTCATTACAGGGTCATTTCAAAATTAATGCAGAAACTAAAATCATTTTGTTAATGTAAAAAACATCTTTGTCATATTTACCCATTTCCATAGACTTCTCTGTGGTCTTATTTTATTTGACACGGTGATCATTACTAACTCATACATATCTCCTGTTTTCTTGATTACTTTGGTAAAATAGCTTCCACTTCCACCATAAGCAGTAAAGGGTCTTAAGCCCAGCAAACCTGGCTCTGCCCCCAGAAATGCCTAGAATGCTACATGTCCAAGGATGCAAACATTACCCCAAACAATGGAGTAGCCCAAAGGGAATGAATGGAGGGTAAAAAGGCCATGAAAACACTCAGAGAGGGAGTAGCCAGTGACCGAATTAAAAAATAAGCAAATTATCCTAACCATCAGATTTAAATGCTGTTATTTTTACATTTTTTTTTTAAAATCTAGACACAATACAACTTCCCCAATCATGTGCAGCTATGTAGCAAGGTAATATTCAAGTGAAGCAGTATCAAAACTACTAACAGCTAGCCAACTTTCACAAAGTAAATGGTGACCCCCAACTCTGCTCCACACCCGTAAGTGTGGCCCTCTTCCAAAATTCAGTGGAGAACACTGGCCTAGAAGAACCAGTTTAGTACAATACTAAATCTGTCTGGAAGACCTGATGCCAGTTTCTCCCACCGTCCGAAATACTTTCTCCTGTGACTTATCGCTCAGCTGTTAGGCCGATGAAGGTAGATGTACTGAACCCGAGTGGTGCAGGTCAACATGGCACCTCGAGAGTGTATAGATCCATGAGTCTCAGTTTAATGTGTATCCAGTGCAACAGGTTGACGTAATAGAACTTGGTAACTTGTAGTTAGGGGCAGTGTATTGCTCTGTGGGTTAGGATTCTGTAACGCTGATTGAAAGGTCACCATTTCAAATTCCCTGTTTGGCAGAGTAATTTCACCATTTGAACAAGTAGCTTTAAATTAAAATGTCTGTTAAAGAAATGAATGTAAATATATTGCAATAACCCCTAACTAACCTTACAGCCAGGTCCATAAAAACACCCAATAGACTGTGAAGAAGCAGTTATAACTTCATCTGCTTATCAGTACTCCTAAAAAGAGTGATTTTTAGTGCAGATAGGTGATTCAGCTGTGGGTGTTAGTGTTAAGGAGTGTGCTGAGCAGGCTATGCCCCTTACAATGCAAACTGCCATGAAGAGAACTAAAGTATCTCACGACTGAAAAAATAAAATCCTTGTCATTAACTGGGCTCTGGATAGCTTGTGATATTAATAACTGGACAGACAGTTTTATCTAGAGACTGATCATAGAGTGCAGGTGTGGACCCAAACAATGAAAGAGCACAATGCCCCAGTGGCCAAGGGATCGTTGACCTTACAACATTTTAAATGATGCGTATAACTGTGTTTCCCAACCTGGTCTTCGGGGACCCACAGTCAGTCCACGTTTTTGCTCCCTGCCAGACAGTCCACATTTTTGCTCCCTCCGAGCTCCCTGCTAGTTTACTGGGAACTGGGAGGGAGGAAAAACGTGGACCAAAAGAAACAATAGAGTCTACAGTAGAAAAAAACTGTAAAAAATACAGTTTGTAAGTTTTGTAAAATGTAAAGGTTTTCTTTATAAAATATTTCCTGTTAAAAGTACATACAAAATCTGTCTGATTGGGTACCAACAAAGCTCTGTACAAATGATGAGTTTTACAGCTATGGTTTGATTGCATGCCAATGAGGGATGATGTCAAAGCCACTTTTAATAGAATTAAAATTTGTGTTTTTGAGGTGGTTGTGGGTTGGATGAAAAGAAGAGAGCATGACTGATAGAGGTAGAACTTGTGTTTTCTATTCAGTATCTCGGCCAATCAGGGCTGGAGATTGGGGGAGGGTCTTTTGGCTGTAACCCTGCTCTGGAAAACTCTGGGATTCCGGGACCTGGGGGGGGGCTGCAGAGGCCTTTGCATTGGGGAAGGTCGGGGGACTGGAAAGAGGCTAATTTTTTTCTTCAAATGTCTGACCTACTTTCAGAATTGGAACTATCAAAGTAAAAGTAAAACGTTAACATGTATGTTTGGCAGGTTTTTTGTTCCTGAATAATTTCTGAGTCTTCTGTGCCTTCTTCAGCTTTGTTTTCTTCCATTATTCTTTTCTTCCTTATTACTTTAACTTTGTTTTCATTTTCTCGTTATAAGTTTTCAGAGGGAGTGCAAACTTCACGGGTCACTGAGGGAATTCTTACCGCCACTGGCTGGTTGTAAATCTCAGCTGCAATTACATCTGCTGCAGTTTCATTTCATCCCTTTAAAGGTGATGAATTTCTCAGACCAATTTCTCTTTCATTCTTTCGTTCTTGGCCGGACTGACCTGACGCAGACATGGCGATGCACTTTACCTGGTAGACATGGTATGACCTAAGAATGCACCCAAAAGCTTTTGCAGTGGCTTTTGCTGTTACAAGCCACTTCCCTGCTTTACGTCAACTCTTTTGAATTTTTTGTTTATTCATTTATTTTTTTTAAAGGTCTTCACAGTTTATATTGTTTTTTTTTGGTTTGTTTTTCCTAGAGGTCCCTTTTTGGACTGCAGCCCACAAGTCATTTCCTGGTTACGAAAACCACTGGCTGCAAGCATTTTATTGTTCTTGAGCATGTCGGATCACTTTAAGTATGTCTTTGTGTGAAGAGCTTATCTCATGAATTAGTTGGTCACTTGACAAGGCAGTTAATTTGGATTTAACATGGCTGAAATGTTTTGATTTGAAGAACCCAAATAATGCATATTAACAAACCAATTTCTTTTTATCCTAAAGGTTCCTTTGGTTAAAAAAAATGCCAGGAGCCAGTGTCAGAATAAAAATCTATCCAAAATATAAACAAATCTATGCAAATATTAGTTATTAATTAAAGTATAATACATACTGATAAATAGACTTTATTGTCTTTGTCGATGTTTCCAAATTGGCAATATAGCATTAAATAACATTAACATACATTAACATACATTAACACATTAACATAACATACAAAATGCCCGGGCAGTGTAGCAAATGGATGGGAAAGGATGTATGGAAGGATGGATGGTAATACTGAAGTGAATACTGGTGAAGATTAATTTATTGTAGCAGCAAAGTAACTTGCTTTATCAGAACTAACATACTGAGCCAATGAGATCTTTGGAGAAGTTGGAAGTCTTGCAGTTTCTTAGGAGGATGCAAGGCTGTGCAGAGCAGGAAGCTTGAGGGATCAGTTTTCTTGTGAATTCTTATGCCAGGTCAGGATGAAAAAAGGGCAAACATTGTAGCAGTGAGGATTTTAATGAAGGGTTAATTGCTAAAACTTTCCTGTTTTGGTAGGTTTTATTATTTGCAATAAAGATGTTTTCTTTAGTGATGGGTTTCTTTGCTAATGAACCCTCCATGTTTCCACCATTGGTAAAATAGTGGCTGTCTTTTTTAGGGGAATCTTATAGAAAACATAACATCTCTGAACTTAGGGATAACACACACAGAGCTCGTAGTTACCAACTACAAGCATGTTGGGAAAATATTACTTCATACCAAGAATAGGTTTTAAGGTCCCAAAAAGTTTTGGTGCTTGATAAACAGTAACGTCACTGAACACGAACGATGAGCAATTTGGAGATGTCCGCCTAGCGGGATGGTTTTGAAGAGCGGGAGGAAAACTGAACACAAACAAACTCACAGAACATGCATTTCTATGCTCACAGAGCTATGGACAGAACTCAGATATGCACCTTGGAGGCCTGAGGCTGCACCACCATCCACAGGCCAAAATCGATGCCCCTTTTCTCTGGTTGCTCCCTAGGACTACCTGGGCTGCATTGTTGATTGTGGGGACCTGCCGCTGAAGCCGGAGGAGGTCAACACTCTCTTCTGCAACATTGAGGACATCTATGAATTTAACAGGTAAGAGGTGCCTTGTCATGCACATTTGAATAACTCTACACTGCAGATAACTACAGAGAAGTAAAGTCAGTGCTGAAAGACGGATAAATTCTTTCATTTCAAGAGCGTATATTGCTGTCCTGAGTAATTATAATGTTGCACTTTCATACATATTTCACGTTACATTTGTGAGATCAAACGCTCTGCTTATGATGTATCTTACCTATAAACATTGTCTGCAAGGAGAAGCTTGTCTCATCCAGGCTTGCCTGAGGTTTTACTCGACGGGATGTATTTATCTCATACTAGTTTAACTAGGCCTGAAATTAGTTAGTATGAATCTATTGGACAACATTGAAAAAAATGTACATGCAGAGGCTCCCCAGGTTACGGCAGGTGTTATATGTATTAATGATTTTTACCCAATTGTAGGCTAATGTAAGTATTCTAAGCATGTAATAAGGCTGTGGTGTTTGTTAGGGTAGGTACATTGTTGTAAAATACTTTTCATATACTTTTCAATATTTTTACCTTATGATAGGTTTATTGGAACTTAACTCCATCGTAAGGAGGCTGTGTGTCTATAATTAGTAATGAAATCATTATAGAAGTAAAAATGCAGTGTGTGTGTGTGTATATATATATATATATATATATATATAGAGAGAGAGAGACAGTTCTAAATATTTTTGGCCTAAACACATAAAATAAGTTCAACAAATGTAGCATAATATGCTTGTCCATAGTAAATTACAGTACATTTTTGCTTTTTAAATCTGTTCAGTAAATCAATGTCTCCAAAGCGACCAGTAGGTGTGTCACCACCCACAAAGAGCCTTGTTGTCTTGTTTCTTGCTCTGCTGCCAAGGCAGTGCTTTCACGTGCATTTCTGTTTAACGTGACCCAAACACTGCAGCTGGGTTGCAGTCAAGCAGGGTTCACTGCACTGGTTTGCATAGGAAATACTTCTACAGTTAAGATCTTTGTCCAGTGTGAGGCAGTAGTTCCACCTGCTTTGAATTTGATTTGTATTCATTTTTAATTAAATAAGGGAGCTGAAAACAAGAGGTTTCCCCATATCTTTAATAAAAATTCCCAGACTTACCCCAGTGTGGCTCCGCATTCCTGAGGTTCCTCTTTTCCCCGTAGTTCATTGATTGGCATTTTTCTAGAACACTCAGTTGACCTAATTTATGAAATTGTATATATCTAAAACATTTAGTCACCATTAAACAATGGGGCCCAAGAATTCACTCTGGTATTGTTATGTCTACTTTTCTGGCACACGCTGCTTTTTCTGACAACATGCGGATCTCGTTTGCTTTTGGTCATTGCCAAGACATGAGGCACTCAACTATGAGTAATGAACTCATTATAGAAGTAAAAAGGAGCTGCAAAGCTCTCCCTTTCTCAAAACATGTCAGGTTAGAATGACCAAAGCTATCAATATTACCCTCCAGCTCCATAGAAGTCGTGATGTCATAAAATTTTAGTTTAATATAAAAGTCGTCTGTTGAAAAAAATTTGACTTTGAATTTCCATCCAGTCAAATCCAGTTCTTTGTGACTATGTCACTAGCCATTTGGCTAAGTTGTATGCAAAAATCTCATAGAGATATGCTTACCATTTTTAGTGTTTGTACGTAGCTAATTCATTGTGATGCATACTGTACATACATACTAGATTTACACGTAGTCCACTGCGTGGTTAATGTACCACTGCACTGACACTGCAAAGACCTTTAAATTCTGTCTATTTTGTCCAGTGACATTGATATTGTCCTTCCTGGTTGTTTACATTTATTGTGTGGAATTTCTCACTCAATGCTGTTCATTTGCATCATTAGAGTGTGCCTCTCAGCCCAGGGCCTCAGATATACAGTAGTACATTTACATCATTAGAGTGTGCCTTTCGGCCAAGGGCCTCAGATATAGTACATTTACATCATTAGAGTGTGCCTCATGGCCCAGGGCCTCAGATATAGTACATTTACATCATTAGAGTGTGCCTTTCGGCCCAGGGCCTCAGATAGAGTACATTTACATCATTAGATTGTGCCTCTCAGCCCAGGGCCTCAAATATAGTAGAGAAAAACACAGGTGAAAGACACCTGCCAGATCTGTATGAAAATTCCAGAATATATACTTATTGTCCTTAATTTCTTAGAAAATAAACCCACCAAAAGCCAGAAAGCTGACATAATATTCTTATTATGATTTATACAGTTGCTGTTAACTCTACATTTCTCTTATTTTGTTTTAGTAGCTAATAAAAGTAGCATGTATTTGCTTTAGTTTTGACTGAGCTCCAAAGCAGGGGTGGAAAGTTCAGGTTCAGAAAGTACAAATCCAGACCAAAATTTTGTTTCAATCAAGCAGTTGAGTATAAAGAGTCACATTCACAGAGTACTCAACTGATTGATTGAAAGAAAATTTTGGTCTGGATTTGTACTTTCTGAACCTGAACTTCCCACCTCTGCTGTATAGTTACGTAACGTCATTCAGTTTCCAGTGTGGAGTTCTTCAGTACACGACTCATTCTTTTTTACTGAGCCGATGATTCATGGGAAACTAAAAGAATTAGGGGAATTTTGTTTTAACCAGTGGGTCCAGACAATTCCAAGATAAATCAAAAACAAACCCTTTAATGAAGTAAATACCCTCTTTTCACAGTGGTTGAAATAGTTTTCCTGTTTATATGACATCTTCTGATGATTAAATTTTTTTTACCCTTTTAATATGGTTAATTTAATTCCACATTAAACAATATACTACGACTTACAATCTTTTGCATTTTCCATCTAGCTTACAGTAGTTTCATAAATAACATAGTATTATTATACTAGAATAATATAAGTTGGGAAATTACCCCTCCTCAGTGAAATGTGTTGTTTTAGTCAACAGCTATACTCATATACTTTTAGCAATTACTCAATGGTCTGACCTTTCCCATTCATTCCTGCCACCCAAATGACACTGCATCAGACCCTCACCTTTCATCTTGTGGGCTCCATGTAGCGATCTCATGTAGCGTAGTTGCACTGGTTGCCCAGCTCTCTGATAAATACCACCCCATGTGTGGGTCCTATTGCAAGCAGGGTACGTTAATGTAACCTAGGATTCAGCAAGAACAATGCGGATTTCAGCTTGGCTGTGGCACAGTGAACAAACGGTTCTACATTGTGTACATAAAAATATAAAGACAAAATTCAGTATGTCAAAATTCACTACAGCCACAGCAACAAAGTAGAGTTCCTGACACTTTGAATAGTAACTGTAACAGATTAACACCCTCTTTAGGCTGTTCTGCACATAAGGAACAGTGTAAAGTCTCTTGCATGCTGTTGTGGGTAGTGACCGAATTCCAAAATGATGAGAATACTGGTAGTGAAGATTGCAGCTTCAGTCATACTCCACATATAAAGTATCACTGAATACAGGGGGGACTTTTTTGCCTATTGTATGTATCTGTGTGATTTGGCTTTTAGAATTGGATTGTGTAATATTTGTGACTGAAGGCCCGATTTTCATATGGCGGATCAGAAAGAAAATAAGAGGTCTGTATTTGTACAGGCTAAGCATGTAAAAAGCAGGGAGACCTTTAGCTGAAGCTACATAGCTCTCAGCTCCATCACCCTAACCCTAACCCTATTAGTAATTCCAGAAATTATCAGTGATATACAGGGGAGGATCTCTGTGTAACTGAGGGCAGTCCACATGCGCTGAATAATGAAGCACACAGTGGGACAACAGCAACACTGTCAAAATCGAACACCTTCCAATAGAAACGTGCAGTGATATACAAAATAAGAAAAAGAGGGCCATAAATCTGAGATGAATCAAAATACATCCCCAGGACCCTGACAAGAATTAGCAGTGGGAAGATGGATGCATGGATGCATAGAAATACATGTCAGCTAGAGCTGTCATGATTACTTGATTAAACTCGATTATTCAATTATTTAAAAGCTTTGATTCTAATTTTTCTTGTCAATTGTCTGCCAATACAGTGGAAGGAAGATGGTGCATAGAGGATGAGAGTCCAAATAAACAGCGAAAGCATCATTTGTGTGGAAGCATTTACCATTAAAGTGAATGAAAATGCAGGCGTCTGTCAGTATCGCAAAGCAGAACTTAAATATCACCACAGCACGACTGCAATGCAAATACATCGTAAAAGAAGACATTCAGGTTTGACAGACTCACACAATAATGCGAGGATAACCATAAATATTCACTTTGGAAAAAGTACGACACTTAACAAAATTTTGTGATCATCACACATTTTATACCACAAAATTTCTTATTTTCGATTTCATAAAATTATCACTCTTTATTTCTATGAACTATAAGTGATTTAATATGAACTCAACATATTAAATAACTATTTACACATAAACATTTAACATAATGGAATTTCACAAATTTTGACCTCCAGAATTTTGCCTGTGGGATTTTAATTAAAGCAAAACCATTCTGATTGGTCTGATGTCATTAAGACCTCATCTCTGACGATAGGGACGATCGTCTCATTGGCTAGAAGCAGGAGACCAGGCAGCCTTTCTTGTCCACACAGGGTTCTGAGTTAACTATGACAGAATTGTCTGTTACATCATAAAACTAATAAATTACTAAAACAATGTTTTTTAGACTTTGTCAACTCATCCTTAGCCTAACTGTCCTCCAGTACCAAGCAAATACATCCTCATTCTGCATTTACAAGAGTCTGACCTATGTAAATACCATTTGCGGTATTGCACATTGTCCTAATGATTGCTTTGGGTAGCTCTAAGATTGCAGCCGACGTTCACAGTCATGAGTATGAGAACCTCTATTCTTTCAACAGTGACCTGCTGGAAGACCTCGAGCGAAGCTCCCATGCAGCAGGCATTGCGGAGTGCTTTGTAGAGAGGGTGAGTCAAAGGCAGGGACTCTATGGAGTGCTAGACGTGGTATTGACCTGAGTTGTATAAGTTCTTGAGTGACACTTCCATTTGCATGCATCATTTTTAGCCTGTTCCATTGACAATGAATAGGTCATTGTTATAGCCAATAAGAAATGTAACTATTAATGCTCTTTGTGTGGCACCCTCTTAATGGTGTACTGCTTTTCATTTCGATTGTTTAACGGGCACTGTGTTCGGTTCATTTTATCCACATTGCTAATGCTACCTCTTTTTGCCAACTTAACAGAGTGAGGCCTTTGACATTTACACGATCTACTGTATGAGCTACCCCAAGTAAGTCTAAATGACCATCTGTACCTCATAGTCAAATATAGATTACCATCATTCTGTATTGAGTATTTAGGATTATGTTGACATTGAAATGTTTTTTAGTTCATGGTTAGGTTATCCGGTGTGACTTAATGGTTAGTACTATAACCTCACACCTCCAGGATTGGAGTTTCCTCTGGGTTCTCTGGTTTCCTTATGCAGTCTTGCGAATTAGTGACTTTAATTCGCCCCTAGTGGATAAATGGGCATCTTTTGATCAAGAGTTTCCCCTAGTGTGAGCCTTGTGCTTTCTGTGGTAACTCTTTACTTGAGGGGGCACAAATAATATAGTTTTAGCATATGCTATTACTTATGGATTAATTAACCACAGAATAAGTCTTGGTTACTTATCAATCTTATGTTTTATCTCAAGCAGTTTATATTTGTTACTATATCTGTTAATTCTGTTAAACCTTTATGAACTACTGAAGGAACAATTAATGAATAACACAGGTATAATACTGATCTCATGTTTGTTCATCATTAATGAATCATGATGTATCTAATCTAAAGTAGGTGCTACATTTGTTCATTACTTGTACTTCAGTAGTAACTGAGTAACTACTAAGTATTTATGAGTAAAGTTACCCTTTCCTCAGTTGGCTTCATTCTCACTGAGACCCTCTACTGGAAAAGTGGTTATGGAAAATGGGTGGTTGTGGAATTATGTAAATACATTATTAGCCTTCATAGAAAATTAACGTCGGCGACTAATAACTTTTGCGACCATGTTCTCTCCTCCCAGCTCAGTGGCTGTTTTGCGAGAGTGCATGAAGAACGAATGCCTGGTGGGCTTCTTCCAGGAGCGGCAGGCAACCTTGTGTCACTCTCTACCTCTGGAGACCTACCTGCTGAAGCCTGTGCAGAGGATCCTGAAGTATCACCTACTGCTGCAGGTCGGTCCACTCAGCTCAGGCATCAGTCCACGAGCGACACCTTCCGGTTAAATTCCAGCCAGTATGGACGTATGACGAGGAGTATTTCAAGAAAATTTTGTAGAAATTGTCTGTCTGTGAATGATGCACTGCTGACTCTACTGGACACTGGATAAGGAATATCAGTAATCAATTCTAAGGTTCTTGTAGACTTTATGCATCCAGGTAAACATCCATTTTTTTTGTATTGCAGGAGTTATCTAAACATTTTGACAAGAGTGACCCTGGGTATGAGGCGGTGGAAGATGCCACCATCACTATGACAGCAGTGGCCTGGTACATCAACGACATGAAGAGGAAACAGGAACATGCCGTCAGACTGCAGGTGCACATCCCAGTATCCCCAGTATACCCAGTATCTATTACGAGAACAGAAATTAGGTATCATGCAAAGTGAACTTTAACCCAAATTATATATTGAGGTAACGCTTTACATTAACTGCACCTTCATAATGCATTAATTATTCATTAGTACAACATTTAGTGCACCTTCATAATGCATTTATAAGTTTGTAAGTTTCCCTTAACATGGCTCAAAGCTTTGCATTCATAATACTTTCAATGAGCAAGACATGACAGCTTTAATATACATTAATAATCATTATAATCACATAATCATATAATGTTTCTTATTAATGTATATTAAAGCTGTCATGTCTTGCTCATTGGAATTATGAATGCAATGTGTTAATACATGTTAAGATACCAACATGCTGCTCATGAATATTCTATGAATGCATTATAAGGTATTCTTACATGATGCTTATTAATGTTTTATGAATGCATTATGAGGGTGCAAGTGTACCTCATGTAGATTGATAGGATTTAGGTTTTCATAGTTGGTAGTCTTTGTTTAATAATGATACATTGCACTATGTTACTCTACAGGAAATCGAGAACTTACTTCTGAACTGGGATGGTCCAGATCTCAGTGGCTTTGGAGAACTGGTCCTGGAGGGCTCCTTCCGGGTACAAAGGGTCAAGAAAGAGAGAGCTTTCTTCCTGTTCGACAAGATGCTCCTTATTGCCAAGAAGAGGGCAGAACATTTTATATACAGCACTCACATCTTTGTAAGTACAGTGACTGAAGAGGCCAGCGCTCAGGATCATTAGTTAGTCTGTATTGTGCAGGTTAAGCACGTAAAAAGCAGGGAGACCTTTTAGCTGAAGCAACATAGCTCTCAGCTAAATCAGTGACCTTTTAGTAATCCCAGAGATTATCAAAGATAAACAGGGGAGGATCTCTGTGTAACTGAGGGTAAGGTAGCACACAGTGGGACAACAGCAACACTGTCAAAATTTAACACCTTTTTTGAATGTTTGCAACATTGCTGACTGCAATTATCTTGGCCACATGAGTTCATATTATACAGTTTCTGATAGCTGGAAGCAGCTGGATTGCAGTGTGAGAGTCATAACAGAGGCAGAGACATTGATTTGGGGCAACAGTGCTAACCACTGTCCCACCACATAACAAATTACTAAGTAGTAACTGTCATTCATACTGAGACAACCTTGTTCTTCAAAATCAGATTAAAAGTGTCATTTGATCATCAGAATTCTAATGTACGTCTCATGTTTATTCTACCTGGTTTTAGTTTTTGGGACAGCAGCATATATGCATATATACATGCATTATAACAGTGTTTTACCTTCATTTCACAGTTTTATTCTTTTCCCTGATTCTTTTAGTGCTGTAATCTGCTTCTGGTAGAATCCCTGAAAGACCCTTTGTGCTTCAAAGTGTCTGACCAGACCATCCCCAAACAGCAACACATCGTACAGGTGAGGGAGGCCGGGCTGTGCATAATGACCAGTACATTACTTAGGCTGTCACAACTGAGATGTGTTTTGGTTAAATGAGTATGATCCACTTGGAAAAAATATCCTGATATAATTTTCATTTTACACAGGAATACCTTCAAGGAAGTCTAAGTGTTTGATACTTGCTATGAAACAAAGACGTGCTGCAGTCAATGTTGTAGTTAAATTTACTAGTTACTCTAGTTACTGTGGTCATATAGGCAACTGAGCATAACATATTAAGCAATTTGCTCACATTTTTGTTATTAGAATGATATATTATCATTATATTAAGCTTTACCAACAGTATCATTCATGATCTTAAGAATTTTTGTTTGCCGTCGTTAATGGAATATGTTTGGATGTGTCTACCTTTGTCGTTTCTTTGCCTCACTTTTCCTGAGACATTGAGGCTGAGTCTCTTCTCTTTCCTAGGCAAAGAACCAGGAGGAGAAGCGACTATGGCTGCACTACCTCAAGAGACTGATTGTTGAGAACCACCCAGCCTCGCTGCCTCAGAAGGTGTGTCCTAACGGCTGCCTCTCACTGCTTTGTGCTTTGTGAATATAGCCTGGAATTCCAACAAAATTATTCATTTCTTCAAACATTTTTAGGCAAGGCAGGTCCTTGGAGACAACTACAGTCAAGGTAAGCATTATTATTTTGTATTCACATTCTTTCCATAAACTGATTATATCCCTACATCTATACTGGCGAAGAAAAAAACAACAACATGTGCCTTACACCATAAAACTTTTTGGTTACCAGTTCTCCAGATTGATCACGAGTCTGTTAAAAAAATATCCTCCTCACCAAGACCCAGTGATTCACGAGGTCACCAACGAGGACGGAGGCAGTCAGGTTGGTGAAAGCCCTGAACATAATAATGAAATAATAATGCATTCAATATTACAGTAACACACATGATTGATAGGATTTAGGTTTTCTTCTTGGTGTTGGTGACGAAACAATTTATGTGAATTCTGCAGAGCCTCCAGAGTTCATCTACACACCGGAGAAAGCAAAAAAGAGTCTCCCACTCTTGTTGGAGGGCAACCTTCCATACCGTCGTGGAAGAAGGCAGTCAGGTTAGACCTATATTTTTAACGAGAGTTTTATACACACCTGACTTTCACCAGGGTAAAATTAGCTGGTATAAGGGAGTAGTACATTTTCTCTATATAATCTACAGACGCTCCTCTACATACGAACGAAGAGGACTGTAAGTCCAAATTGTGTTCATTGGGCTCCCATTTCCTGTCAGCAACATCAGTTTTTTTTTCTGTGCGGCAATTCCGCCTGGTATGACTTCTGGCCGCTACTCCCGTCGCGCAGCAGCGTAACATGCGTACTTCCAGCATCCTCGTTCTTAGTACTTGCATACACCCTTAAAATGATGTCGAATAACAACTTACGAACATTTCAAGTTACGAACGGCTGTTCAGAAGTATCTCGTTTGTAAGTAGAGGAGTGTTTTCTTAACAAAGTAACACAATAAATATAATAAAATCAAAGGTCATGAAACAAGGAGCAGGAACAATGGATTGTGTTTCCTGCTTGTTTCCTCAGCCCCTGCCAAGGATATTGAGGCCGTGTGTCAGCAGAGCGGTGAGTTTGTCACTCCTTATATATCTTGGTGGTATATGATGTCACTGCGATTAAATCTCTCTTGCCAAAGTGGGGTGCAATGTTGACAACTGAATGCCTCAAAAATTCTTAATGCCAAATGAATATGAAGAATTTATTGAATGAATGTCAGTAGAGTCAATGCAGAGATCACAGAAAATTATCTTCATTGTATGACATAATACAATGATAATATTATGGTTAATACTTTGAATGTATTACTAATCTGGGATTATTGTTTTTATACCCTGTTCCCAAAACCATATTGATATTGGAATTCTGAATGACAGATGCATTAAAGGTATGTCTGAAGAGTCTTGCTTAAAAATGTATATATAATTCTATCTTGTTTGTTTTTGTGAATGATTTCATATATTGCCAATATTCTTTATGCCAGTGTTTCCCAGTCTGGTCCTTGGGGACCCACAGATGGTCCATGTTTTTGCTCCCTCCCAGCTCCCTGCCAGTCAGTCCGCATTTTTGCTAGGGAGCTGGGAGGGAGCAAAAACGTGGACTGTCTGTGGGTTCCCATGGACCGGATCGGGAAACGCTGCTTTATACCATTGCGTAAATACCATTGTGTGATGGTTACTCGGCTTGCAGGCAGGTAAGAAGTGTGAGCTGTGCCCTCAGGAGGAAACCATGGACTCCTCAGGCATTGCAAGCACACCAGCTTCCTCTGTTTCTGAACTGGGATCAGCACCGGACAACCTTGGACTTGGCCCAGATGAAGACATGACCCCTCCAACACTGTCAATTGCTGAGGAGATCATGCAGTTCATCAACCAAAGCCAGACAGGGGAAGGGAGGCTAGCTCAGCTGCTTAGTAAGGTACCTACCTTTATACTGTGAGGCCGGCTTCAGATCAAAATATTCATGTTTGCACTTTAGTGAACTCCTTTTTTATTTAAAGCAAAATAATAGTGACAAATATTCTGTATTTATTTACACAATAGCCAAAGGCAAACTTGATGACCAACTGTCCATCCATCTTACAACCACTTACACTGGACACAGGGTATATCCCAGGCAGAGTAAAGCACAAGACAGTGGGACACCTCGAATGGGATATCAGTCCACCACAGGGGACATTGTTATATTTGTCATACAAATATACAGGTGCTCCTCGATTTACGATGGGGTTACGTTCCGATAACCCATCATACATGGAAAATATTTTATAAGCCAAATATGAATATGATACAACAATAAGCTACTGTCACTGAATAAGTAAATCATTTCTGTAACTAACCAAATACCAGTAATTGAAAGAAGTAAATAAATGAATACAAGTTTATTCGGTTAAACACAAAAAAAAAACGCCACACGATACTTTGTTAAACAGTGTACGAGGTTTTTACGCTTGCGATCGCTACAGAGACTGTAAGCGTGGCTGTGTGGATGCTGCTGTCGTCCAGCATCAGTAGACAGTATTATATGGCACATTGCTAACCCAGGAACAGATCAAAATTCCAAGCTGATTACTGAATGTGCATCTCCATCGCACCATCGTAAAGTCAAACTGTAGTAAGGCGAATCATCATAAAGTGAGGAGCATCTGCATTCCGAGGGCAGAAAAATACTTCCAATAAGATTTATTTTAAGAATTCATTACTTATTTAATGTTAGATGGGATATAGATACCATTCAGAAAGCACTCTTCCCAAGGTTAAGTTGTACAAAATCATCAAATGATGAAATTGCACATTCGATGATGATATATTTTCATATCCTGTAATTATCTGCAATTATTTTTGCTTCCATTAGGATATAAAGCATATATTCAATAATATCCAGTTTCAACTTCCATTTGTACTGCAATTGCAGGCAAAGACTCCCCAAAATGCTACAGGCATCTAGGCTATTATGCACTTGGCACTGAAAAAGCAGCTTTACTCCTTTTCTCTAATGTAAAGTGCTGCTCTTCTTTCTGCAGGAACACACCGTCCCTGAGACCTTGGAAAACTCGGCTACCGCCCGAGAACAGGACACTTGTATCACCAAGAAGGATGAGGGACAGCCTCTTTCCCCTGGGACTAGCAGCTGCCAGCAAGACTGTGATTATATTGGCATGCAAGATGAGAAGTCAGTGGAAGACAATAAAACTGTCATCACAAAAGGCCAAGCCCATCCATGTCAGGCTGGTACAACGTCTGACAAGGAGGAATCTAGAAAAGAAGGTTGCATTTCCTCCCTAGCAAATATGCTGCAAGAGATTAGCCAAGAGAACCGGAATCTGGTCTTCACAGAGAACTCCACAGACTCTACCGAATTAAAGGATACGAATGACGTGCCTAGTCAAGATAGTTTGGAGGAATCACAATCTGATTGCACATATGGATTTCATGGTGCTGAAGTCTCCAGTCTTTCTAACGATGACGAAGGACCCCATACCGTTGAGTCAGGCAAAATCTGCCTCCCCCAGCCTTTAACTACTGACAAAAATGAATCTTTGCTGACAAAGAGCAACCGACAGATCATTGAGAAAATTCGTAATTACTATGAGGCTGCAGATATCACAGATAGCCAGATACCCAGGAGAAACAGTATTTCTCACATTCCCAGTGGCATGGTAAAGGAGTCAGTATCTCGCTTCAATGTCGTTAGTCGACAGGAAGACCTCTGCGAGTCAGTGACTGGACACTCAGATGTTGATGACTCTGAACTTAATCATGTTTCTCCTCTTCCTGAAGCAGGAGAAGAAATCCTTATCCCAGCCGACCTGCCAGCTGATTGCACAGATTTAGCTGATACTCATACTGAATCGTATGCATGTACGGAGGTACGTAGTGAAGTTTCTGACACTGAGATCCATACTTGCTCTGAGCTGATGAAGATCTGGAAGGAAAAGGAGAAAAGAGAGTGCAGCGCACATACAGAAATGCAGAATAAACAAAATATTAAAAGAAAAGGTTCCACTGAGGAGGAATGCTCCGTTGGCATTTTTGCAAAATGTAGGAATAGTGTTTCAACCAAGGATGACAAAATGGACCCTGAGGTTCTAACTGAGGGAGATGATTCTGAACAGAACTGCAAAGAGATAAAAAAAAATACTTCCCAGACTGTCCAGTCTGAGAGCACTGTGCCATGTGCAAATCTGGAGGGACTGTCCAGTCAGATCAAAGTGAGCAAAAGCTCCAAATGTACCAAAGAAATTCTCAGCAATGACCTCTACAAGGGGACCCCTGATGTGATGGGAATGGGCCTGTTTGAGGGAGGAGTGAATCCCTGCCTGGCAGAGAATTCGGAGAAGATCCTTAGCAAGGTACAGATGCTGGTCCGCATGTACAGTGACAAGGCAGCCAGTATTAAGATGCCACTGCACAAGAGGCTCCGGGAGGGCCGGGTGTCAGCGGAGGTCAAGGGGAACACACCCGAGCAGGCGGACAAGACGCCAACACATCTAGGTGAGTTTTTGCCCTCAAACTGAGATTTTCTCCTTTAGAAAAGTCCTTAGTTTTTAAAGGATAGTTCTTTTAATGGTCTAATGGTCTTATATTTTAGAAAACTGTATTTAGCGCAATCCAGCATACTTATATAAAAAATTGTTAATGGTGAGCCAGTAATATCAGTTGTGATTTTAGGTTGTTTTTGGGTAAGTATTTTTATTTTTACAAATTGGCATGTTTAAAGCGTTAAGCAGCATTATCATTACTGAAGGGCAACAATGTGAAATGATTGCTAGGGTCCAAAAGGTACAATCCTTAAAAAATATATAAATTTAGAATTCATTTTATTACTTTTTAAAATGCTCACACACTTATCTAATGATCTTATAGGTGTTGCAATGAATTATTATGTTATATGAAGGTGTTTGTTCAATCATTCTTATTTTTACTGAAGGTTTTAATGCCTAGGAACAAATCTCATTCCATACTTGTCAGTAGCTAACTTTTTATTGCACGACATAAATATTTCTGTTCATTTATATAAATTGCATAGATTTGAGCCCATCCTTCATAAATGACATGCATCAGTCTCACAAGAAGGCTGAGCAAAACCAAACCTCACTGTGTCTTCTTTTCTGCTCATAGACTGTCCAGTGCTTACAGAGCCTCGGATGTACGGCCACATCCTTGTTCGAGAGCAGCTGTCTTCCACGTGTGTCCAGGAGAACAGCTGTATTGTAACCAGCCCCAGAGAGAGCACTTCAGACCTGGAAGGATCCTCCATCTTACATCCTGCTTCTCCACTCTCTCCAAAATATCAAAAATCCCAAGACAGAACAGATGCAGAGACGGCAACGACTGAGACAGGAGTCATTTGTCCCCCTTCTGGAGGAGTACCCACAGATTGTGAATTGTGTCCAGACAGTTCTCACTTGAAGGCGACCCAGCCAGAAACACAAAGTACAAACCCAGAGCGGGACAGATCTGTACAAATAAATGCACTTTCAGTGCAGGATAAACCATGTGACTATGAATCGCCAACAGATTCCAACAGAGATACTCATTTCATATCACCTGAAGAACAGAGGGATGACCATTCAGTGTTTTCCGAAATGGAAAACCTTTCTGTAACGGAAAAGCCCTCCATCTTGCCAGATGGAACTACTGAATCAAAAGTGCAACAGGTAGCAAAGGCAACACAGAAGAACCTGACACTGAATGAATGTACAGAGTTACAGGAAGAAACGAGAGATGTGCCTTGCCATTCTGAGGAAAATGTTAGCTGTACTTTTAAACAGGAGAGCTTTACATGTTCACAAGACTTATCTATGGAGAATTTAGATGGCAAAATACTGGATAGCACAGATATGACAATCACTTTAGAACAAGAGACGGAGAAAAGTGTACGTGTGCCGGATGATTCAAGTGATTGTGACAAGAATCCTGAACATTCCCACACCGTGTTGCCCTTATCTGCCCCTGAGGATAATGCAACTTTGCCCTTAGAACCTGGAATAGTTAACAAAAATTCAGAAAATCCTGTTTTGGTGAGAGGGCTTCCGAGCCAGAATAGAATATCCTTTCCCAGCCAACTTCAGAAGGTTTCCCTGGAAGGCATCTCAACAGAAGTTTCTTCTTCTTCGTGCATCACAAAGGACATATCAGCTCCAGAACAGCCTATCTCTAACAGTCTGGAATCTTCTTTGAGGAAGGACCAGATAACCAAAGAGCAAGCTACAACTCAGAGAAGGTCTCCTTTTTCAGATCTTCCAAAGTTCACAAGCAAAAGACCAGACTTGCCAGATGACAATGAAACAAAGTGCATTCCTTCAAATCAGGAGGCACAGGCCAAGCAATACATCAGTCAAAGGTTTGTATTTATAGTAATGCATAAATACAGTATAATGTTATTTAACTGTCACACTTCTTACGCTTAAAATGCTAGTCACAGGCCTTTAAGCAGGGTCTAATATTAGATAAGGGAGAGATTTCGTTCCAATCAAATCAAATGAGTTCAATGGTTATAAAGCTCAGGAAAGCCACACTTGTCTTCTTGTCTTACTGTGTATATATACTGTATATGGTTTGAAACAAAGTTGAATAATTATCTTATATCACAATGTTTCTTTGTTGGTTTTAGGTTGCCTCCCGTCTCTCCAAGGCATGACGACTCTGTCAAGAAACAGGTACAAGCAAGTTCAGGAGAATCCCGTCCAAAGTTACATTCTCATCTCTCCAATGATAGACCAACTAACTTACCTTCCACCATTGGCAATAAAAAGCCATGCTGTAGTCCCAAGTGCTGCACTTCCCCAGTAGAAAATCCTCAGCCCTCCTTGTGTTTCGTTAGTCCAAGTCCGATGACTAAGTCACAAGCTGCTTCCTGCATAAGCCAAAGCCTTGCAAAAAGGAGCAATAACACCCAATCTTTAGCCATGACTAGCGGCTTGAATGCAAAAAGTTCTATCTCTACTACATTGCCACAGTCCTCTGTATCTCTGAGGCTAAGGTCTCCCTCACCAAAACTGAGTGTGATAGCAGATACCTCTCAAAATATAAGTCTTGGCAGTGCATTGACAACAACCCAACAAACCAAGTGTGCCGCTGTCCATTCCTCTCCTTCCAGTGCCAGACAATCTCCAACAATATCCCCACACCCCTGCCATAATCAGACACCATCATCTACTACCCCGGAGCAATTAAATCACCCAAACTGGAACAACAACAACAACAACAACAGAAATAGCTGGAGCAGTGATTTTGGCATTAATAGGAAGACATCTCTGTCAAGTATGGGAAGGTCATTATTTTCTCCTGATCACCTTCAAAATACTTCCTATAACAGGGTGGCCCGACCCTTTTCATCTGCTTCCGAGCCTAGCTCTCGAGTGCATTCTCCTTCTCCTTGCTCTTCCATCTATTGTACCCAACCTATCCAAGACTATCCCTGTATCCCATCGAAAAAGCCTCCTCATCTGAAGTCACTTCGAATTCCCGAGGCACATACATTCACTCCACTGTGTGTCTCCTTGGAATGTTCCACACCATCCTCTGGCTTTTCCTCACCAACACCGGGAAGTCCCCGCATCACTTCCCCTCCCCCTATAGGTGTTCCCAAACACATGTGGGGTGCCGCTACTCCCCAACCAAAAAACCCCATCGTCACCCCTTCCTACGTGGCGGGGGTCTCCCCTGTGAGTGGCTCAAATTTATCCCAGACCCAAAGACAACCACACGCGGGCAGCATTCCTTTCCTCATCCTGGCAGATAGAGCTCCAGTCCCAGCACAAAATGGACACAGGTCATGGGCGGAGAGCAACCATTATTCTCAGAATGTGGAACACAGTCCAGGTATACAGAGATCCCAGGGAACCCATAGCAACCCACCGTCTGGTGTTTTATCTCCTGTCAGACTGGCACCAACCAAAATCATCCAAGGGGGGCGACATTTCACTAGCATTGCCTGGCCTGACATACGAGAACTACTGACCAAGTATGACGGTGCAGAAACCCCCAATCAATATGTTGCGCCCTCTCCTGGTCCCTCAGACGCTGAGTCGCATAGCAGCGACCACTGTAATGGCAGGAGCCAAGATAGCCTCGTCAGCCCCACTGTGGCCTGTTCTCCTCCTGCCGTGGGTCAGGATGTGTCTACTTCCAATCCAGAGACTGAGCCAGAGGGGGCTTCTTGGACAAGGGTGGGTCGAGGATCACTGAGGACCAGCTATGCTACCACTGTCAACTTGCAGATTGCTGGTAGTGGCCGGATTACTGCGTTAAGCAACGCTCAAGTTAGCCTGACCCAGACACTTGTGCCTGTATCTGACAATGGTCACAGGCACAAAAGTATTAATGGTTGCAGCCTTGCCCAGACCTGTAAGAGGCTCTAAGGCGTGCTGGAATACATACAAATTTTTACAAATGTGCCTTGCATTCAGTCAGAACAGGTACTGCATTCAAGAAGACATTCAGGTGGAACCCCTACCAAAAATTAGTTATTCGTCTTTGTTATTTTGTTAATAACATTTTATACGTTTTTGCCCTCATTTTTGTTTCGTCTTAAAGAAATTCCAGGGCTTCGTTTATCTAAGGCGTGGATATTTTCATCCAAAAACAGCAAGATCATACTATAGCTCTTATTTATGAGGTTGCTTTTGTTTTGTTTGTGTGTCTGGCACTTAACACTGTCGCTTACATTGCACAATGTCATACGGTGTGTGGATGTATCTGTGAAATGGACATTTATTTCAGGGCAACCAAATACCAGTGTTTTAGTGTAACTGTAAAATGTCTCATCACTCTGCCAGTGTTGCTGACTAGAACTATGTAAATTTTTTCTAAGTAGCTGAAAAACTTTTCAAAGGGAATTTTACCATTATGGATGTGTTTAAATCAAACACAAATGTTCATACTCAAAAACATTTCATAAGCAAGTATACAAATCCTTTGGGTACAACATGATAATTCAACTTTAATAATTGGTATATCCTTCATTACACATTATATCTCCTTCAATTTCAAAATAACTTTATGTGTTCCAGGTGGCAAGAAAACTAGTAACATACACACAGGAATGAAGAGGTTCTGGTTTTAGACTGGGTGTGTTATTCGCAGTTAATAAAGTTAGCAGTGTGACTTTTCTTCCAGTTGCCAAAAACCATTGAAGAGGAAGCAGAAGGGCAGACAGGACATTTAAAAAAAAAATAAAAAATCTTTTTATATTGTGTTTTGTGCTTTCTAGATCTTGCAGTAATAAACCAAAATTAAAGACGTTACTGTGTGCATCAATGACTAATCTCTACAATAAAGTATATTAAATAGTGCATTTGCAAGCAGGATTGAGGATTTAAAGCATTCATTTGTGTTTGAAATATGTGTTCAGCAGAAGTGATACAGCAGGTATGAAACAATTTCCCCAGAAAGACTATAATGTCTTAAAATTCTTTGGACAGGCTACTAATTTAATGATGTTTAAATTTAATAGAATAATCCTCCCCATATATTAACTAAATGAAACTTTAATGTGAATCAATACAAATATTTAAACTCCAAATAATCCAATGTTTTTGTATCAGCTACAGGTTTATGGCACATGGTTCACTATTGTGACTGTGTTCTCTTTAAAATGCAGTATTTAGATTGCCAGTGTTTAACACCATTCATCACAATTAGATCATATGTGAGCCTCGAATCTTATATTCATTATTTGACACAAAAGTCACAAAAAACAGCATCTGGCTCGCCACAAACTCAACTTCAAAAGCATACTGTCTGAAGAAGAAGTTTTTGCTTAATCTCAGTACTGCATGGCTCGACAATATAAATTAAATCTTGTTGATAGTTTTGGGGTATTATAAGAAGCGACCCCTTACATTTTGATGCGGAAAACATACAACAAATACATACAAACATATTAGGAATTATTATGTTTAAATTGCATCACATAGTGGAGAAACAATACAGGTTTTATTAAACTTAAGGAACACAGATTATAAACAAACAGGATCACAGTGGGTCAAAACAGGAGGACTGGGAACAGGCAACAACATGGCACGACGTCAATGACCGGAATAGCAAGGATGAGACAAACAGGTATTTAAATACACAGACTAATACGGGGCAACAAGCATCAGGGGCGACCCATCAGGGCCATGTGAGGGAGGCGGCAGGAGGGTCAGGCAGATGTGGCGGCAGGAGGGTCAGGCAGATGTGGCGGCAGGAGGGTCAGGCAGATGTGGCGGCAGGAGGTGACACATTACCCTTTAGAAATTTTCAAAGATACAACCATCCAAAGTCAGTATAAACCGGTTGCTCCTGTCTCTGTGACAGTTCCTGTTATACGTAATTAAATAGTGCATCTCTGAATCATTTGCCTGGTATGTAACTACTTCACCATCAGAAAAAAGTACCAATTTGTACCCTTAAGGGTGCAGTTATAAGGGTGCAATTATGCAATTGTCACTGAGGCTGTTCCCTCAAGGGACTGCCAACTGTACGTTAGCGGTGTACCTTTTAGTCTAATTTAAGGTGCAGAAATGGACTCTGAGGAACATTTTTGTACCATTGGGGTACATTAATGTTGTTTGTACCATTGGGAAACAAAATTGTACCAGGGCTGTACCTTTTTTTTCTGACAGCGTAATAAAAGTGAAAAAAAAAAATTCAACTTAAATATATAAAGTCAATTTACCATCCTATTGGCTCCCCACCTGCAAGGTAAAAGGGGGGGGGTGCAGGTGTAGTGCTGTTTGAGCGTCAAGCATGAGCAGGAAGGACCACGCAGATCAGACTTTGGCAAAGGATACTGACATGGAATGTTAGCTCTCTGGTGGTCAGCCTTACCTCCACGCATAGTGTGGGAACTAAACCACTCAATCGGGTGTAGAATCACGCTTCCTATGATAGAGGGTCTTCAGTGGATGTGAAGAAAATCACATACCCCAGGCTGTGGATAGTGCAGCTGGAGTTTTTCCCAGTAGGGGTATCTCAATGTGTCTGTGTGTTGCATGGAGGAAAACTCTGACTACGTTTATGTTTATGTACTAAACAGAGCTTCAGTGTATACATGTGGCCAAGTATTAACATACCCGGAGTGGCGTGAGTGCGAAGAATGGCCCCCTCAAATCTAAACCCAAGTGGCGAAACGTTATTGGACTTATGGGCAAGCTGCAGCCAGAAGACAGTCAGTGCCTGTTATTAAGATTAAGATTAACTTTATTGACCCCCAGGGGGGAATTCTGGTGCACAGACAAACACACATATAGTGCCAAACAGACGGAGTGCAAAGACAGCGTCACAGTGCAAACACATTTTTAAAAAGTACACAGCTACAATATCCTAAAGAAACAGAACAAAACTACTGAAAAATACATTTTTAAAAGTCTAATGGCAGCAGGAAGGAGGGATCCCCACTAGCGCTTCTTAGCACGCCACGTGGGACAGCGCCCCCTGGTGTGAATGGCCAGAATTGTTCATAATATTGTTCAATTTTGCAAACATCCTCTTCTCTGGATATTCGGGGGGCTGCACAACAAAAAAAAAAAAGCATTTTTGAGAATGGGCTGGACATCATTTTATGGTTAAATTAAAATTGTCTACTTAACGTTGCAAAATAAAAGGTGGCTAAGCTTGACACACATTTTCTGGGCAATGTAAGGTCTAAGTAATACAATAAACTTTCAAAACAATTAAATAAAAGCCCCCCTATACAGAGAATGACCCCTTTGTAGTGCCAATACTGCTCAACGCTGCCACCAGCTTTGTCTGGCTGATGTTGAGACGTAGGTTGTTCTCTCTACATCGCTTTTCCTCTATACTCATCTCCATTGCTGATAGATCCTATATAACATCTGGTATTGTGCTGAACGTACAAAGTGTGGAGGATTGGGAAATGAGGATCGATGCTGAAATAACGATTCTTTTGGTCTAAAATTTAATTTTGAGAAAATCCGTACCAAGTCTCGGTATCAGTAAACCAGCCTTGGATCAGATTGACATCGGATCAAAAAGAAAACCAGCGACACCAGCCGTCCCTACAGATAGTAAACAGGAAGGGAGACAGGGCTGTTCCCTGAGGTGCCCCAGTGGTGTTCAGCACCATCTTTGACACGGTCCTGGAACCTCACACACTCAGGCAGATCAGTGCATGATGACTGAGAATGTGGGGTATTAAGCTGCCTTGTGCTGAGATATTCCCCAGTTGCAGAGGCTGGATGGTGTTAAAGGCACTAGAAAAGTCAAAAATATGATCCTGACTGTGGAGCCGGCTTTGTCTAGCTGGGAGTCGGCTCTGTCGTAAATAACAAAGAAAATAAACAAACACACGGGAGACACTCGGGGCAGAGCCAGAAATGGTGGTGACCTTAGGACCCACTGGTGGACACCTGTGGTGAGGGAAGCTATGAAGCTGAAGACAGAGGCCTTCAGGCTGCCGCTTGTACGGGGATCTTGTGTAACAGCGGAAAGGTGCTGACAGACTAGAAAAGCTGCAGCAAATGTGGCCACGGAGCCAACAGCTTGCACATGGGAGGAGTTTAGAGAGGCCGTGGAGAGCGACTCCATTCGGGTGGCCCCAAGGGTGGCCCCAAGGGTGGCCCCAAATGTGTTTTGGCAAACCATTTAAGACAGCGTTTTGCTCAGGGCTACATTCAGCTAGGGTAGGGAAATGCTGATACTGAGGAATTCCTCAACTCAGAGGATATGCCCCCTTACCAGGAGACAGCACTGGAAACTTCTGGTGGATCAGTGTCTTATCAATGCAGCTGAAGTTATGGTAATCAGAGGCCTCCATACTGAAAAGCCTCCAGGGGTAGATTAAGATTGTGGTGTACTCACACTAGGTGACCTGTTCCGTGCCTGAGCACATTTGACCCCCAAAGTCTAGTTCGTTTGACTAGTATGATTGCTCCGTACCCTGGAGAGGTGGCCCGAGTATGGTTCAGCTGGACTCTGGCATGGTACGCATCTAGTGTGATCGCTAACTGTGCCCAAGCATGGAACATGGACATGACATCAACGATGCGACTAATACATGCATGTGCACATGTACGCTATACATGAACTGCCCCCAGAAGAAACTAATCGGGTAGCCTGTACAAATCGGGTAGCCTGTACAGATCGGGTAGCCTGTACAGATCGGGTAGCCTGTACAGATCGGGTAGCCACAAATATTTAACAAACTAAGGGGTGACATTAGTCTATGGCAGAGGTACTGTGTTTGCTGGAAATCTGGCCTGAAGAGAATATCCAGGATCAACTGGATGCAACACACAAAATTTCCAAGATATTTGGTAAAATACGGGATGATCTTATATGCGCAGCAAGATTGAATGAAAATTGCAGAACTGCATAATCGATAAATCTATAAGAGGGCCGTGCTGCCCAAAACAACTCCATATAAACCACAAAAT